GGCAGTTTCTCTCAAATGATACTGAAGATACTGTAAAAATGGGCACATCATATGTTCTTCATATCAGTGAAGATTTTTATCACTAAGTTGCAGAAAGGAAATGAAATACGATTTCTTTGTTATATACTATCAAGTAAAGCTAAAAGTTTTGTAGTGGTTTTTATATCACATATTTTTATCAATATCTATTCCAGGTCTAGCAGCTTACTTAAACTATTTGAATGATAATTTTACTTTCATTGAGTGTATTTTTAGAGAATTCAAAAGAAACACTTCCAGAAAGTCTTCATGAATTTAAAACGAGCAACTAAAATTTGAATGAGTACTTTCAAAAAGTGATTACAACCATGTTGTCATATAGATTCTTGTGTGGGGGCCTCTATGATATTTTTGAATAAATAATAATCCTTGATTACAAAATCAACTCCGTAATGTTTAAATTTTAAGATTCCAGTGAATACATGATTGTACCAAAAATTCACTAATAAATAAATATAAAGTGAGTATGATTCCTTTGTGGTTATCCTACATAACATAATTTCATCCTCTATAGCAATATATTCTGCTAATTTCTAACAAAGTTGAGAAAAAAATAGACAAAAATTACAGATAAATACCATAAGTCTTTTGAAAACAGATAAAACCCCACAGGGAAATATAACAAACCGAATAATCCCATATATGTTTTTCTGTGAATTTTTACTGAGCCTACGTTTATAATAGTTACCTGATTTTCACTCAGTCTTGGTAATGAATATTTCAGGATCAAGTTTATCAGGATTTCTCCTTTTCCCAGAGGTACAATTCTCTGGCCAAGATAGGATGATTTCCAGAACTGACATGAAGCTATTTCCTCAATGGACATTCTGTGTGGGCCAAATCTAAAGGAAAAAAGAGAAAAACTGCATGGTGGAGAAACAGACTCAGTTGGCTAAGTTTACACAGATCAGACTGGGAATTCTTCCTATTCTCTGTAAACCACAGTTTGGTGCTAATTTATTTATTTATTTATTTATTTTAGAGTCTTTAAAAGGGTCCAATGTTACTTGACTCTGTCTTTCTCTGACCAGTCTATGACTGGTCCCAAGGCCTTTGCATATATGTTACTCTCGCCATCTCTGGCATGCTAGTCATAACCAATTCATGTATGAATATGTTGAGGGCAGATCAGAAGTTCCTAAATAATTTTGTAACTGGCTTTCTGAGTTTCTTCATGAATCTAGAAATTATGCCTATCACTTGATAGCTAGGAGTTTGTTATGTTACTGAAAAAAAAGAAAACAACTAAAATGTCCTACAAATCATCTCTTCAATTACGAATACAAAAATAAATGAAAAAAGGAAGAAAAGAAGCCTATCAAGTAAACACTAACAAAACTGAATCATCATCCAGTTTATTCCTATGTGCTAGCACTACCCTGTTGTCTATAGGATTGAACACTGTCACAAATCATGCTTTCCATTAAGATGTTTCTTACTTTCCTTTATCAAAAAACAAAATAGCAACTGGTCTCATTCAAAAATCTGTTTAAGAAGCATTGTACAGAGACAAGACTAAGTGCTTCAGTGAGAAAGGCTGAGCAGTTGGTTTTGGTAAGGTGGAGGCAGGAAAACAATACAACAGTATACATGCCAATTGGTTTATATGAGAATACTTCTGGTTATTTTTCTCTTTAAGAATTAGGGCAAAGTGAACATTTAAATTACTCTGGGTGAGGTCAACTGAGCCCTTTTCTATTGGTGCAAAGGAGCATTAGGAAACTTGTGCTACTTTCTTTCCATTTTGGTATCAGTCCAAATTACTCTGAAGAAAATAAAAGTACATTTAAAAACTACCACTGACTACTTACTAAGTTTCCTTGGAAGGAAATAGCAGAAAGGCAAGGAATGAGTGGGCCGCATATATCAAATCCCAAGTATAGAAAAAGAGGAAATCTAGTTCTTCTTGATGGTGCTTCATATTTTAAGTTCTCCTGGGTCTTAGGAGGACAGGTTAAACTGTCTTTTGCTTTTGAACTCTGTAATTTCAATGTTATTTTTTTCATGGTCATAGATAGTAAAGTTCTCTGATTTTCTATTGTACTCAGCCCCATGCACAAGGAACCATGTATAATGTAGCCTTTATATTAACAGGTGTTAAAATAATCCTTTTAAAGTGAAAAGGTATGCAAGTCTGGTTTTTTCATTTCCAAAATATGGAGATTAAAGTTATCTATGTCTTTCAAAATAAAATAATTTAACTGAGTAAATTCATATATTTATTTGTGGTACAGATAACCATCTAAAATTCTATTTTGAAAATTATGGAAGTTAAGGGTTTGAGTATCATGAAGGAGAATCTGTAGGATGCTTTTTGTTGAATACTGCTATCTGTATACCTACACACTACATAAATTTACTTTTTAGAGGCCTGCCATTATTGATTCTGATTACTGGAGATAATCAGTGGTTTTGATAACTTTGGTAACTTCTAATTCTACAGTAACAATGCATTCTGTAATGCATTGGATAAATGACAATTTAGTAGTCAAATTACGAGGATGCAAACTCTATTAATTTCCTGGTACTCAACAATTTGTCCTCTTAAAAAAGACAAGTTAAGCACAGTTTACCTGACTAAGAAAATCAATCATTAAAACTGCTTTGTCAGAATTTTGCCTACCCAACTCTTTAGATTTTGGACACAAACAAACTCCCTTGCCCAAATTCTAATGTTTTGCTCATCCTTCCCAATTCCTAGATTATATAACAAAGAAAGAATCCAAAGCAGTTGAACATTTGAAACTTCCTCATTTACCTTAACTATGGAATAAATTTACCCAGTTGATTATTTATATAATTAATTATTTGTAATTACATAGCAGGAAATATCCAAGTGGATACCTATATAGAAGTAGAAATATTATCAACTTTTTAGATACTGTAGTTTGTGATATTCTTTTTTAAAATATAAAGTAAAGAGGTTAATTAAAAAATTAAAATAGGGGCTGGGAAGGTAGCTCAGTGGTAGAGCACTTGCCTTGCATGCATGAGGCCCTGGGTTCGATTCCTCAGCACCACATAAGCAAAAAGAAAAAAGAAAAGCCGAAGTGGCCCTGTGGCTCAAGTGGTAGAGTGTTAGCCTTGAGTTGAAGAGCTGAAGGACAGCGCCCAGGCCCAGGGTTCCGACCCCACGACCGGACCCCCCCACAAATAAATAAATAAAAGAAAAAATTAAAATAAAAATGAAAGAAGGCTGTTAAACATTTTAGAGTTTCTTATTATTTAGTTTTATTCAAGCTGGCATTGCATGAAATATGTGCTTGAAAACTATTAATGAAAGAATGAGAGACAAACTTCTGAAAACTGAAAGTGCAGGTTTATAAAGTAGTCAACTTCCACCATCTAGTGGCAGTTCTTATGAATAACCTCTTTCTTTTCCATTATTAATTATAAGCAAAACAAATTCAGAACATATAAACATTTGTTTCAGTATAGTGTAAGAATAACCAGGTTATACACAAACTTTTATTTCCTTCCTTCCTTCCTTCCTTCCCTCCTTTTTTGTACCAGTTTTGGGGCTTAAATTTAGGGCCTGGGCATGCCATCCCTGAGCTTTCTCCCAACCCCCGTCCCTCCCCCTCACCCCAAGGCTCTACACTTGAGCCACAGCTCCATCTGCAGTATTTTGGTGGTTAATTGAAACTGCCTGGGCTTGCTTCAAAGCATGATCCTCAGATCTCATCCTCTCAAGTAGCTAGGATTACAGGGCATGAGCCACTGGTACCCAACTTACAACTGTTATTTTCAAATGCTTGCATTCAGTTTATAATAAATAAAATTTAATACATTGAGCAAAACTCATTTAAAAATGTTTAGCTGCTTTACCTATTGATAGATGGGTTATGATTTTACTGTATTTAGAGGACAGAACTTAATTTTACCAACTTTAATCTTCAAGGTCAAGCTGATATTTAAACTCCCCCTTCTTTTAATAGAATTAAAATTAATTTTAAAAATTAATGGAATTGTCACAGTGTTCTATTATTTTCTCAATTGTTTGGAAGTAAGCTATCTGAATAGCAGGATTCAGCCCTTGAGCATACATAATCTTGAAGTGAAAGTGTATTCACATTAAGAAATAGAAATAACTAATAACTCTTTTATGGCAAAGAAAGGCATTTTGAAGGTTGTATATTTTTCACTGTCAACTTGCAAATAAATAACAAGGATTGAAAACTGTTTCCTATATAATTCAATTGCTCTAAAAGATTATTTCAATATAGTAGTAACACATTTTATTTAAAACACACAGGGTTTTTTTGCAAATTGAGATGGGGATTATAGGAGAGACGAATGATTGATATGCACATTCTAAGCAGCAGATGTTGCTTCATGCACATCCGTCATCCTATCTCTCCCTGGGACAGTAATGATCGTGGATGTCTCATTTTATAGACAGAAGAAACTGAGGAGTTTTACTGTCACAATCATATAAATCTGGGGTTGAATTCAATGGTCTAATTCAAAAATCAATATTCTTAGAGATTAGAAATCATCTTATACACTAAATTTATAGTTGGGGCAGAGTCTTAATTGTATTAGTAAAAATTGATAGTGTCATTGTTTTGCAAAATCTTGAATGACATTGATCCAAGGTCAATCACATAAAGATACCCTATTGGTTAAATATGACTTATTAGTGAACAAACTTTGAATTTCATACATTTTTATTGTGAAAATACTGTACAGAGGGGTTACCATTACATGGGCAAGGTAATGAGTACATTTCTTATCAAGCATTGTAGCCTCCTCCTTTGTTTTCCCTTCCCATCCCTTCCCATCCCCCCCCATCCTCTCTGCCCCCCCCCTTGAATTTCATACATTTATTCAACAATGGTGCTGCCATTTCTACAACTGGAAATCCATTGTGTGAATCTCCTCTATCCCAAAGCTTTCTTTCTTTTTCTTTTTAATGTTTGTTACTGTATCTTTACCTGTTTGCTTTGTTTTGTTTCTAGCAAGAGCCATCTCCAAGGGCCATCCTGTGAACAAAATATCAGCACAAAGGTCTAAGCACAGGTCCTCGGGTTTGTCCAAGCCATTGGTTAGCTTCTGATTGGCATATTTGTCCTACTAGTTAGGGCAACAATGCCAGCAGGGAAGCTAGCCAGTGCATCACATGGGTTTCATTTCCCTCAGAGAGGGAAGCAAGTGTGTGTTCCTGGAGAAATCATTCAGCTAAGCAGGTATATTACAAGCACCACACAAAAGTACTCCATGAGGCTTCTTTCCAGAACAACCTAGTGGGGGAACAAAATTCATCTGATACCTGAGAAAACTTTTGACTATGTGGACCGCCTAAAGTCCCCACACATTGCCTTTGACCTGTGGATGTGTAAAAACATTCTGGCTTCTTGTCCCAAGACAAAGGATATTGGCAGGAGGCTGCTAGGAAGAAAATAGCATGTGGGTGTGGGTCTTTATTGCAAGAAAATTAAAGATGTAGGTTGCTGCTAGAATACAACATAGTCTGTCAAGAGTGTCTTCTCTTTCACTCTAAAAAAGAAACATTCAACTCAAGGCCTAGGTGGAAAAGGAAAAAAAAATTCATTGGTATCCCTGAGAAGGGCGAAGCATGGCCTACAAAAGAGGAAAAATATTTTCTTACTAAACTGTGCTTACAGAAAGACAGGCCGCCCATCTCCAACTGCTACTTAGCCCATGTGGAATGGGTAAAGACGTTATAGACGTAGGATACTGCTGTTGTACAGGAACTCAGTCGCGAGAAACAGAGAAGCCACATTTTGAGAGGTCGAATTGGAAGTCTGAGAGCCGGTGTCTGCAGGGGGACTCCTGTCCCAAAGACCTGCAGCCCCTCAAATACACTTAACACCGTTAGGAAATTGAGCCATGAGAGCCAGAGAGGAAAGAAAGAGCAGAAAAACAATACCAAGAAACCAGGTCAACTCCAATGGAGAGTTGAAGGGGGACAGCATAAGTGACTGGAGAAGAGCCAGGAGTCCCGAGACACAAGGCATGAGACATGATGTTACCATGCCTGAGCTTCTCTGGGCTTACATAGGGGGAGAGTCCAGGGTCCCAGGAAACTGACTCTCCTGAGTTCAAAGCATAAGACTGACAGTCCAGTAACCAAGTCCCCGCTCCTGTGTCTAGGAATTCAGGCACGCCCATCACCTGAGCGAGGAACTTCCCTGCCTCTGCCATGAAGACAAGGTAAACCCAATTCCTTATCATCCACCGCGTGGCCAAGATGGCGCTGGTTATACCCAGCATCCTTAGTTCATTGCCAGTTAGAGTGTAACACTGTCTGGTCAGGAGTGTCTTTCCTTTCACTATCTGAAAAGAATCATTCAACTCAAGGCCTTAGATGAAAAAGGGAAAAATTCCCTGGAATCCCCGAGAAGGGCAAAGGTTGGACTTCAAGAGACAAAAAGTTATTTTCTTACTCATTAGCTGTGCTTAGAGACTGGTACTTCGCACCCGAGGAACGTCTTCACAGAACCTGGTCACAACAAGCCAGATCCAGAGAATTTCTACTACTCTATAAGGCCCGTCTGCCTCCCTTCCCTTCCCGTCTTCTCCGGAATGAGAGACCATGGAACACTGTCTGTGGACTGCATTTGGTCAAGGCAGAAGCCTGAGGGCATACAGAGATTGGGAGAGTACAACCGTTTTGCCGAAAAGACAAGCAGACACTCTTCATTATTTAAATAACCAGACAGGTTTCAAATAAATAACCTAGTGCTGCATCTCATCATCCTAGACAAACAAGAACAATTCTAATCAAAATTTAACATGCTAAAAATATAAAAGAATCATTTAAAGAATATTTACAGAAGACCGCATAGGTTGTCCACAAATAATTTGTGATTTTAGAAAAGAGACAAGACATTTGACCATCTCAGGGAGTGTGAAAAACAACCCCTTGTAGATACAAAGTATAGTATTTCTTCTTCCTCTTCCTTTTCTTCCTCCTCCTTCTCTTCTTCCTCCTCCTCCTCCTCCTCCCTCCTCTCCTGCCTCCCCCTTTCTTCCCCTCTCCCCCTCCCCTTCCTTCTCCTCCTCCTTTTTTTTTTTTGGTGCCTAACCTGAAGCTTGAACTCAAAGCTTGGACACTGTCCTTCAGATATTGTACTCAAAGTTAGTGCTCTACTACTTGAGCTGCAGCTTAATTTCCATCTGTTTTTGGCAGTTAATTAGAGATAAAATATCTCATGAATTTTCCTACCTGGGCTAGCTTTAAATCTCAGTCCTCAGATCTCAGCCTCCTGCGTAGCTAAGATTATAGGCATGAGTCACTGGTACCTGGCTACAAGGATAACTTTCAAGGACAAGTCACAATTAAAATAAAATATAAGGTTCAATTCCTTTTTTATAAGGGAAACCTATTTTTCACAAGGTCTGATACACTTAATTTATACTTGAAAGTTTTAGGATTCAAATAAGAAATTCATGTGTATACCTTTATTTAACCATCGTTTCAAAGTAGAAGTCAGTATTCTACACAAATTAATTTTTGTAAGGAGAGGAAGGACTTAATCTAGCAAACATTTTCTAATTGGATGTTAATAGTTTTGTCAAGGACATGAACACTTATAAATATTTTTGAATAGTTTTGCTACTAATCTGCAGGAGGAGTAGATCTATTCTTATATTTTTTATGCATAGGAAATATTCAAACCAAGCTTGTGGTTCCTCAGAGTGCACAAAAGGAAAAAAAAGGTATTAAATGTCAGGTTTATATATAAAATTATACATATATGATATACACTAGTACTTTAAGTACTTTGATCATGCAGACTAAAAGGTTTAGCTTTCACTTCAGAATACAACAAAAGATAAGGTTGTCACACAATGCAGAAAGCATTTATTGTCAACACAAGGATTTCATGTATCTTTAAGAACATGAAAAGTAGTACTTTTTATCTTTTATTAGCACATAGGATAAAAATAAAAAAGATGTTTATAAGATCATTCACAGAAAAACACATCCAGCAAGATAGCAGAGCAAGAGTACACGTGTGAAAATATTTCATGTTATAAAGTAAGTGCATGCTGGGGATGCTAGAGCAGATATTGAGGGAGGCTTGCTGAATATCTGCTCACTCTGTTGGCAGGTCAAATACAAATGTTTCCTAGCTACTCAGGAGGCTGAGATCTGAGGATCAAGGTTCAAAGCCAGCCTGGGCAGAAAAGGCCCTGAAACTCTTTATCTCCAATTAATCACCAGAAAACCAAAAGTGGCACTGTGGCTCAAGTGGTAGAGCGCTTGCCTTGAGCTGAAGAGCTGAGGGACAGCACTCAGGCTCAGAGTTCAAGCCCCATGACTGACAAAAAAAAATGTTTCCTGATGCTCTTTTTTTCCTTATTTGTTAGGAAAATACTCACATATACAAAGCATGGATGTATATAATGATAAATAAAATACAACACTGCTGATATATTTTATCTTTTAGGACCCTTAGAATCCTATCCACAATCTCTTCTCAAGCTTTTACACAGGACTTAACTATTAATTAATTAATGGTCTCACTATGTAGCTTAAACTGACCTGAACTCACAATATTCCTGCCACAGCCTCCAAAGCGTGTACCACCATTCACAGCTCAAGGAGTAAGTTCTAGTCTGAAATTACTATTGTGGTAGGAAGCTTGGTGGTTAAATCCATGTTTGTAAATACCTTGGAAGTGGGGTGTGTGTCCTCTGGTGTGTCCAGTGTGTCCTCCATTCCACAGTCACTACCAATTCAATTGCAAGCAGTACCCTCACTTCTTTTTTACGTAAGGAATGTTGCCTGTCCTTCAAAGTCATATAGATGCATGCTTGCTTGAGCAGCACACACACTAACATTGGAATAATACACAGATTAACATGGCTCCTGCACAAAGATGACACACAAAATCATGATCTTCTGGGTTTGGGCTTTTAAAATGATTGTGCTGGTGATTTTTAGTAGTTTTGTATGGGTTTTTAGTACTCAATTATAGTAAGTAAGGCTGAGGTGAAGCCTCTGAAATTACATTCACTTACCTCTGGCTGAGACATAAACAAAGCAATATCATATCCTAGTGGTATTGACATAAGTCAGTGCTACCTTCAGTGTGGAAGTTGTAGTCTGTCTTATTTCCATTACATTTAGCAATTTGTTCCCCACGGAAATTTAGTATAATATGATAGAGAACAATGGTCATAGCCATATAGTAACCTTAATTATAAGCACAATGTTTTTTAATTGTAGACTCTGATACACTACCTACCTTACTTTTAATATGTACAAGAAGGATGAAAACCAATTCTTAGGTCAGCTTTACTGCAGAGAAATGCTGACTGCTCCTGCTTTCTGCCACAAGACACTCCAAGAAATAAGGGTCACCTGGAAATATCATGTTAGTATAAGCTATGGACAATATTTTATTATTTTGCCATGGTGTAAAGGAAGGTAGGTTCTCTGATGAGATCCATGTACTCCAAGGCATGTAAGATCAGTTCTGTAGAGATCCCAGAATGTCGCAATGTGGGCCAAGTATCTGGTGTTCCATTGATCTGGGGATGGCTAACTTGCCTCCCTTAAGAAGGACAATGTATCATACGGTCTCATGTCACTCCCGGCTGCTATAGCAAAAGATACGGCACTGGGTAATTTATAAATGAGGAACTTATTCTTATCAATTTAAATTTTGAGCCAGGTGAGATCCAGGTGCCAGAAGATTTTGTGTCTGGCTGCGGCTGGCTCTACTCAAAGGTGATGCTCCCTGGTGTAGACATACGACCAAGGAAGAGTGTGAGCCATACGACTTCCGTTATGTGGGCAGGAAAGCATTCATGAATGGGAAGGTCATATGATGAATGATTTACAATTCCTAAGGCTCTCACCTTTTGATATTACTGTATCGCATTTAAACACAAGCATTGGAAGGACAGCAATATTTGGAAGATTGTCTTTACCCCGCTTGGCTTTCCATGGAAACGTTCAGCACACTACTTGGGCCATTTTGGGGTTTAGAGGTAGCATTACCACACTTCGTGTACCTGCTATGAACCAGAACTCAAACCAAAGTAGTCTGACCTGAGTTCTCATGATCTTAACTTTTATCAGTTCATCCAGCAAATATACACTGAGCAACGAACATGTGTCAGACACTCCTCTAAATGCTTAGGCTTGGTGAACAAACCAAGCAGAAATCCCTGTTTCCATGGAGTTTCCATTCTTCTGTAGGTAAGATAAAAATAAACTAGACATGTGAGCTATGGAATATGGTCAATAGAATCAATTGTCCTGAAAACTAAAATAGGGAAGGAGACAGAAGGCCCAGAAGGGATTTAGGTTACAATTTGAGAAGGGGTGGCCAGTGAAGGCTGGAGTGAGAAGGTAACTCCAATAAACCCTGAACAGAGCGAGTAAGTACTGTCATGGAGACAAAATGAAAAAGCCAACTTCTAAGCAGAGAGAGCAGCAAATGCGAAGGTCTTGAAGCAAGGTGGGCTTGAGTGTATTTAGAGAACCATAGAAAGCCCACTGAGATATTAGCAAAGTGAGTGAGAAGAGGCTGGATAGGTAAATGGAATACTTGTGTAGAATTACTTAGATCATTTTAGGAATTGGGGCTTTTACTCTGAGTGAGTTGGGAAGCAATTGTGGCATCTTTTCATGAAATGATTCAGTAAGAATGAATGGCCTCACTCTGTGAATGCCTAGAGACCTGTGTAATTTATTGTGTCCCAGTATACTTTTGTTTTCTTTTACCACCCAGGGTTTTTACTTGTATATTTGTAGGCACATTCTAGTTACCACAAATGAGGAAAAAAAATGCAAGTTGTTTCTTTGGGTCTGGCTTGCTTTGCTTAACATATTTTTTCTAAGTCTTTCCATTTTTTTACAAATGGTAAATATAATTCTTTATGATAGATGAGTAGAATTATTTGTGTACATATAGCACATTTTCTTGATTCTATCGTCCACTGAGGTGCACCTGGGTTGATTCACTAATCTTAGGTATGGTAAACAATAGTGCAATGAACATGATTGTGCTGGTAGCTTTAGTGTAGCCTGGTTTGTGATCTATTGGATAAATGACCAAGAGTGTAATTTCTGGGTCATAGGGAAGCTCTATGTTTAGTCTTTTAAGGAACCTTCATACTGTTTTCCAGAATGGCTGAACAAGTTTACATTCCCACCAACAGTGTAATAGAGCTCCCTTTTGGCCACATACCCACTAGACATTCACAGAATGAGACCAAAGGAGGGTACTCTTGGGAGGTGATCATAAAGGCACAATAGCTATGTGTGTCTGATCATATAAAATAATATTTATTGAAATGAACTCTAAGATATAGAAAGAAGAGGGTTTTTTCCTTTGTTGTTGTTTTTGTCTTCCTTTTGTCTTGTTTGTTCATTTACCTGTTTTGGGCAGAGTAATAGGAAAACAGTAATGGTGGGACAAAGAGTGAACAAATACGTAGTGATACTATACGCCTTGTTGAAAGCTAACTATACAACTTGTGGGTAGGGACAGGAGGAAAAAAACTGGGAGGGAGGGAAGGGAGAAGGGAAGGAAGGGATAACATTGTTCAAAACAAATGTACTCTTTTTTTTTTTTTTTTGTCGGCGGTGGGGCTTGAACTCTGGGCCTGGGCACTGTCCCTCAGCTCTTCAGCTCAAGGCTAGCACTCTACCACTTGAGCTACAGCGCCACTTCCGGTTTTCTAGTGGTTTATTGGAGATAGGAGTCTCACGGTCTCTCCTGCCCGGGCTGGCTTTGAACCACGATCCTCAAATCTCAGCCTCCTGAGTAGCTAGGATTACAGGCGTGAGCCACCAGCGCCCGGCAACAAATGTACTCTTTAGGTGACTTATGTAACTGTCACCCTTCTGTATATCACTTTTACAATAACAATAAAAGTATTAATGGTTATCATAGTAAGAATAGCTTGGTAGGTGGCCAGGACAGGAATAGAGAGAATGCTTTCAGGGTTATAAAATAGACAAAATGACATGACTGGAACTTGAACCACAGTAGAAGTGGAAGTTAGAAAATGTGGTAAGATCTTGGAAATACTTTGATAGGAAAATGGAAAGAAAATTTTCATACTATTGGATATACTATTTTCGATATTCTAGCTTATTAAGATAAATTTATACTCTAATACGAGTTCTTCCCAAATTTTTGACTTTTTCTCTTCCATTTCCCAGCAACATGAATGATAAACCTTTGAATATACATTGAAAAGCCATATAACGTTGACTCTGAAATTAGAACAGATTTTTTTAGAATAAATTATTTTTTGTCAAGGTGATATACAGAGGGGTTACAATTCCATAAGTGAGGTAACAAGTACATTTCTTGTCAAACTTGTTACCCATTCCCTCATTTTTCTCCTACTTTCCTTCCCACTCCCAAGTTGTACAAATCATTCCCAACATATTGTCTTGTGCATATTGCTGTTGCATTGTCTCTAAGAGCATATTCATTGCTTCTCAAAGAATCATATTTCTCGGTACCTTTCACTTCCTTTCTACTGCCATGTATAAAATTGCCTGATTGATCCAATTACAAAGAAAGCAGCATTATTAATTAATAGCACTTATAACTGATAATCTTGGCACCTGTCTGTGCAGAATATCTATGCTGTCAAATTTTGTCATTGTGATTAGCCCAACATTGCAGATTCATGGGGGTGGGGTAGGCAGAAAAGATACCACTCTCTTCTTCTTCAATATTAAGCAGCCTCCTCTTTAGTAATGAAAAATAAATTTTTACTCTAGCTAAAATATTTTAACTTAGTTGTTATAAGGAGATAGTTTCTGCATAGTCATATCTGACAAAATACCAGACATGGACAAGTACAAATACAAACACAAATACATGGACAAGTATTAGCAAATTTATTTTCAATTTCAAAACAGTCTTCTGTAGGTGAGCTTGAAAGTTACTACACTTTTACTGCTAAGACAACTGGGAGTACTATATATAAAAGGAGTAATATTAATTTAGAAATACATGATTTCTGTCGAAAACGAGCTTTACAATGTCGGTGCCGGGGGGGGGGGGTAGATGGGGGGGGAGGGGGGAGGCTGGGAAGGGATGTGAAGGGTAAACAAAGGAGGAGGCTGCAATGCTTGGTAAGAAATGTATGCATTATCCTGCCCATGTAATTGTAACCCCTCTGTACAGTATGTTCACAAATTAAATTAAAAAAAAGAAATACATGATTTCCAACAGAAAAACTGTTAATATATAACCACAACAAGATATGGATGCTCTTTATTTTTCTAACCAGAGACTTGTCTTCTAAAAGTAGAAAGTTAAATCACTCTCAATAAATAGAAAAATAGGAATATAAGGCATCCTCATGTTTCTTGAAAAACACCCAATTCTATGGGCTTAACAGTATCAATGGTATACCTTATGAAGGTTGTCAAGATTCTTTGTGTTGTTCAAAAATCCGATATGGACATAAACAAAAATTGTGTTTTTGTTTATGTGGCAAAATAAATAAAAATAAAATCACTTTATAAAATTTCAGAATAGTAAATGATATTACTGCAATCAAATCACAAAACAACCGGTACAGCATTGGAAATCAGGACTCATCACTAAAATAGAAAGAAATAAAATGAAGTATACGATATTACAAATGAATATTGTATGAAAGGTTGCTAGCTATAATTGTTTTTATTTGTTGATAGTTTGACTCAAAATTTATTATCTTTAGAAGCTGGTGCTAAATCATCAAATAAGTCTTCCACACAATGTAATTAATTGTAAAACTAGAGCTTATTTATATATATATGTTTATTTTAAAGATACTGTACAGAGGGATTACAGTTACATGAGTAAGGTAATGAGTATATTTCCTATGAGCATTGTTACTGACTCCTTTGTTTTTCCCTTACCATCCCTCCCCTCCCCAATCCCTCCACACCCGAAATTGTAAAGTTCATTTTCAACATAGTGTCTTGTACATCTCATTGACAATGCGTCAACCTTTATCCTTGTTTCAGCATTTTGTTATTTCTCTCCCCCTCTCCAAATTAGAAAAATGTTTATACAAGATGCAGGGCACCAGAATCAAATACAGTGACAACACGGGTTATACCATGGGGGAAGAGCAAACAAAAGAAACAAAATAATCACATAGGACATTAAAAACAACAGCGACAGAGCCTATTTTTGTAAAAAATAAAAGTATGACCTAGGAACAAAATTTAAGTCTTATCATTAAATTCCAGTGTAACTTAACCAGTTAAATTCTGTTTCTTCAACTTTTAGAGACAAAGTAATATTTCTGTATCCTTAATATTTAACAAGATAAATTATAAAAATGTGATAACCTTTGAAGTAATTTTTGTGTAAGAATCAATGGTATTCTAGTATTTTATAAGAACCAATCAACTAAGTTTATTATATCTTATAATTCTAATATCTTTTTTCTTTTCATCAAATATTACTATTAATTAGATCATTTTGTTATAATTCTAATAAACATCTATCTAAAGGATCATCTAGAACGTAGTACATAAAAGAACAAAGCATAGTATCACAACTTCAGTAGTATTTTAGTCAAAACTCTAGTTCTTAGGATATTGAGGGAGAAGTTATGAAAAATTTCAAAATTTTTTGCCTGTTGAGACTTGAACACATTTATTTTATAGTGCATTTATAAAACAGACTCAAAATGTGAAGTTAAACTAATTTCCACAGTTCACAGGAAATCAAAGATATAACCTGGTTATATTTGATTTGTAGATATAATTATTTTTCTTTGAATTAGTCTCATAGAAATGGTGGTAACATTAGAAAAGTGGCAAAACTAATTTTAGAATGAAGTGGAATTATTTGGTGAGCTTTTATAATAGTTCTACTCAATAATTGAAGTATTAAATAGTTTGCAATAGCATAAACAATTAAGCTAGAAATAGAAATAGCTACAAGAGCCAGATGGCAGCGGCTCATACCTGCAATCCTAACTACTCAGAAGGCTGAGATCTGAGAATTGTAGTTTAAAGCCAGCCCAGGTAGGAAAGGCACTGAGATTCTTTTCTCCAATTAACTACTCAAAAGCTGGAAGTAGAGATGTGTCTCAAGTAGTAGAGTGCTAGTTTTGAGCAAAAAAGCTCAAGCCTCCCCCCCCCACACACACACGAGAAAATAAAAGAAATAGTCACAACAATGTGCACAGTAAATATGTGCTTACAATGAAACAGTTCATGCAGATTTTGGTATAACAGAATACAAAGTATGAGTTCCTTATCACAGTATTCTCTTTGAGTTTTAGCTGTTAAAACTTTCAAGATTGTTTTCTCCTTTGCAGTGCCCAGCCAAATTCTCCTGGAGTTCCACTGGGAAACAGTTGTTTTTCAGTTAGGAGCCTGAACTTCCTTTCCCATTGCAACATTTATGTTCACTGCCCAAGTGGCTTCCATCGTATCTTGTTATTTTTGATGTTTTTCCATGTTTGAAGATTTCTATAAGTAAAGAAAAAAGAGAGAAGCCCATCAGAAGTATGTACTAGAAACAACCACAAAGGAAACTTCTTGCTATGCAATATTGTTTATAAAATTTTAACATATATGTCTTTTGAGAAATAATTTGGAGTAAAACAAAAAAGCCAAAAATAATAAAATAAAATAAAAGGAAGAGATGTAAATTCTTCAGACAAAGGATAGATGCTTCTATACACCAGGCTAGGAGATAACAACACTTGGAATTTCTAAAGTGTTGTTGAAAAATGCTTTTCTATCCATTTTAGTTTATCCTTATATTATCCTATTTTATAGGTAATAAAAGATAAGGTCACAATGAAGTTCTGTCATGTCTACCAATCACACAGCTGGTGGGAGTCCAGATCTGATTGTGATCCATAAATGGTTGACTCCATAGCCAACATTCTTTGGACCTGGCACTAGGCATGTGGAATAGAATACAATCCTGGGGGAATACTAATGACTATCGAGTAGAAGGGCATCTCTAAATGTCAGTCTGACAAAAAAACCAATAGGCTTCAAGTATCATCTGTACTGCTGAAAGCTGCTAATTAAAATACACGCCACTATGACATTAATACAACATCCTACCAAATTTGAAGAAAAGTAAAAAGAAGTTCTGGATTTTCATACAGGACATTTTCTTTCTTTCCATTATGTCTTTTTTAAAGCACAACGCATGAGTAGATAAAAAGCCAAATGAGCAAGCATTACTCTCGTCAAGTGGCATGGAAAGCCAGAAATCTTATCCTTTGATTGTACTAGAGGTCTGTTAAGTGCTAGCCTCTAAACCTACTCACTACACCTGTATGGATTTGCTGCTGAGTAGTCATTACACTATAACTGACTTCTTTTGCTTCCTCTTCTTTCTTTGCTCCTGCTCCTTTCTCTCATTTCTTTCTTTCTCTCGTCCTTTTTCTCTCACTTATTTCTTTTTGTTATTCTTCTATCCCCCCACTTTTTTGAATTCTTTTTCTATTACTAGTAGTTAGATGATCTAAAGGAAGCTACTTAATCAATGGATGTCATTATTATAAAATTCAGGACAGATAAAGGGATAATGATGCCTAAATGGGTTGAAATAAAGAACCTAAAACTGCCTCATCACCTGTTCTTTATTTTTATAGTATCAGTGAAATACGAAATGTTCAGTCTTGTGACTTCTGAGTTCATAGGAAGAAGAAAGATGACATCAAAATAGGTAGAAATAGGACTTCTCCAGGAATTATGAAATAAACTTTCTTTTCCTTTTCTTTTCTTTTTAAAAATTTCAATATCTCTCAATGCTAACTAAGCACCCTGTTCTCTTGAATTTTGATTTTATTCTCTCTTCCCATGATCCACTCCTTTCCACAATGGATGCATTTAGATAGTTAGACATTTCTTATATCACAAATAGCAAAACTATTATAGAATATACATTATAGATAATACAACATACGGTTTTTAGGAAATATGTCCAGATATAATTTCTACTTCTATGACTTTCTATCTTTGAGATATTATCTGTAAAAGGAAATAACAACATTTCTCACTCACAGTGTTGCTTTTTTGTGGTGGAGGGGGATAAGGAAAAATAAAATAGATGTATTATAATACAAAGTACTGGATCTGAAGGTCTAGGTCTGAGCCCTAACTCTACAACTCACTGGCTGTGTCCTAGAGTCTATGGATTTTATCCCTTATTATTGAACAACTTGATAAAAATTGCAGATTCATAGAGCTATGGAACTATCAAATGAAAAAAAGGATTTGCAAAGTACATTGTAAAACATAAAGTGCTAAAGAGATATTACCTGTCATTACTATCTCATATTCACATAAAATTATTATAAGCCTGTAGTTGGAGAGTTCAATCCATCATCTTGACAGTTATTACTCACACTCTCCCTTGTCAATAAACTGATTTAAGATAGTATACAGTCAGGCAAAAAGTGGGAGGTGAAAAAAATCTGAATAATTATCTCAAAATGGAATAATAGGATTTAATCCAATTAATTTAGAAGAGGCTAGATAAGTGACTTCACCTGTCTCAACTAGCCCAATTTTCTAAACTGCTACAGAAATCTTCCAAATACTATTGCTGCTTTAGTGGCCAGTGCTAGTCAACAGAACCATGGATTTCACAGTAAATAGAAACTCTGTGATTGATTTAACTTTGAAGAATATGCAGGAATTTTTTTCCTTATAGTTATTTCAGTTTTAAAATCCAAATTAGCCAAACCTTTATCTGGGATCAGTCATTACTCATTCTTTTGGCGAAGAAGACAAATTTACGTGCAAGTGATATTTCTTACATTGCATTGAATACTCACTGAATAGTGTTGTAAGGGAATTCAGTCTCTAGAAACAGAGAAGCCACCCCTTAAAATGTCAAATTATGAGTCTTCAGTGAAAGCGGGAGGACTGCTGATCTCTGAGACCAGCAGCCCAAGTGCAGCTAGCACAAAGCTTAGATAGGCCAAAACCACACATGTGCATGGAATCAAACCTAACACAAGTGTTATACAGGAGCAAAGCAAACCAGATTAGGACACTTAAGCCTAATAGAAAAGCAAACCATCTAGGGAAACAATTAGGGGAAATCAAGGGCCAATTATCTAGGGAATCATAGACCCAGTCTCCTTACTTCACCAGAACATGAGATGAACTGAGGAATTTGGAGTCACAGAGACTAAGTTCTATGACAATCGAAACAAACAAAACCCACACATCCTTAGAAGAATAAATATAAAAACTGAAAATGTTAGAACACTTGTTATTCAGTTTTTAAAAATGAAGCTAGAAGCATAAAATCAGATGGGCAATTCTTTGAATGAGAAGATAGAAGTGGAAGAAAAATCTCCATTTCTTCATATGTTACAGGACTCAAATTCAAGCATATCTCAACCTGATTTACATTCTCTTGCTAAGTTGATGTTTCCTAAACTTTAATTTAAATCAAATCTATTCACATTTCACTTGCCCTTTTGGGAATATGGAGTGCCAGACTCCAATTGTGAGCAGCAAAACCTTCAACAAACTATCCACTTCCTTAACAAGCATTGAGGCTACAGCCTCTCTGAACAACCCAAGGAATCTCTTGATTCAACGTTTTCAACTATATTTTGATCCATATCCTCATATCTGTGCCCAGTTGTCGAATTTCTTTCATTGGTATCTTTTGTAATTAAGTCTGAGAATGAACAAGCAAATGAAATATGGTAATAGTCACTCTATTCTCTCTCATTAGCAATAATTAAGTAGTATTCCATAGTTTATCCAGAGAGGGCAATACACACACACACACACACACACACTCACCTATCTATGATTGTTTTTGCATATAGAAAAATTTTGAGAAGTGCCATAAATTATTTGTCAAATACAGAACGAGAGTCTGGAGTTTATATTTTCTTATTCAATAAATATTTATTAAGGAATTCCTAAGAGCCAGATATTTTTTCTAGAATCTAAAAATAGACCACACTGGTAAAAAAATTGTGTTTTTAACATCCCTGTGGGTAGAAAAATGGGCAATAAAATTTTTTGAAAGGAAGTACACAATTAGGTATTGGAAATTGGATAGGCAGTTCCAGATAAGTGGGTTATAATTTCAGATAAGGTGGTTTCGTAAGGAATACCTTTATTGAAAGGAGGCCATTAGGATTTCTGGGGAAAAGACTAAGCGACAGAGAGAAAATAATCTTTGTGAGACCTACGTGATCTTCCTTTTGAGGTTTTAGAAAACAGGATGCCAGTGTTGCCAGGGCCGTGGGAAAGGGGGAGAAACGGAGGTCTCTGAGGACTGTCAGGAGGGGCATTCCATGTTTAGGAACTCAGCACACAGAGGTCTTAGCAGAGTGAGGTTTCAGCACGTTGCCTCTGGCTATTACGTTAAGAATGGACACTCAGCCACAAGGACAGAAGCAGACAGATTAGTTAGAAAGCCCCCATAATCCTGACGAGACGTGTCTGATAGAAACAGACAGCTGAGACTAACTAGATAGTAGTGGTCATAGAACAGAAACGATCACATCTTACATGTTATTTAGAGATGTGGACTCACTAATAGTGTAGTGATGAATGAGTGAAAATATGAGAGAAGTTTCTCTCAATTCTTATACTTAATTACTTTGTAAAATCTGAGCCTGTAATCCTGGCTACTCAAGAAGCTGAGCACTAAGAATCATGGTTCAAAGCCAATCTGGGCAAGAAAGTTCATGAGATTCTTATCTCAAATTAATCAACAAAATACTGGATGTGGGTCTGTGGGTCAGTGGTAGAGTGCTAGCCTTGAGGAAAAAAGCTAAGGGACAGAGCCCAAGCCTTGAATTCAATCCCCAGGACTGGCACAAAAACAAATCTGTTTCATAGGCCTCTTACACTGGAATCAACAGAAGACCAGGCTGAGAAAGATTCTGGCATTCCAAAGAATCTCTGAATCATTCTCTGGAGTACAGGTTTGTAAATTTTTCTGTAAAGTGCCGAATAGCAAATATCAAAACTATGCAACTTGGTCAATATGGAACTGAAGTCATCACTGACAACATGTAAATAAATGTTGAATATGTCTGTGTCTAAATAAGGCTTTATGTGCAGAAATTAACATTCAAACTTCATGTTCTTCACTTCTCACTTATGCTACTTTCTACATTTTAAACCACTTATAATGTAAAAAGAAAACATTTATAGTACCTATGCTATGCAAAAACAAGCAATGGATCAGATCTGATTCATAGGCCATAGCCTGCCCAACCCTTCTGTAGGAGACAGATTCCCCCAAGAATGGATTTTTTTTAACATACTTTGAGTGCATTATGCACATTAAATGATTTTTTAATGCACAAAAACTTTCATGCCAGGTAAGCATTTTTTTATTCTATGTTTAAAGACTAGAAAGCAAGCTCAAATGAAATGGGACCATCTTTGAGTTTAGCATTCAATCCTGGGTCTATCTGGTTGCAAAGCCTGAATATTTTCCACAGTCCCTTGTCATTTTG